TATTCTTTTGTTTGGAATTAATTTTTTCTTACTTTATTTTAATGAATAACTAATAAGAGAGTGATTGTTTAAGAGCGATTGTTTATAGTTTCTAAAAAAAATAAAAATCAAAATTCAAATTTAACTCAATTTTAACTAAATTTATTATTTCACATATTATCAATATAATTAAATAATATTAATTAATTATTATTATATATCTCATTAATTTTAATTCACTATTCATCTACTCAAATAATTTTAAATAACTATCACTCTTAATCATTTTTCTCATATTTTACATCAAACCAATTTTATATATTTTACTTAAATATTATTTAATACATTTACTAACAATTAAACATATCACATTTTTTTTTAAAAAAAAAATTAACTATAGTTAAAAAGAAAACCAAATAAAAGCTTGTTAAATCTTTAAACAATCACCCCCAAGTGTTTGGACAATGAGTTCCCGAAAGCTCACATACGACTCGAACTATTTGTAAAAATATTTTAAGTAACGTCATTAAATGTTTGAAATCGAAAAACGAGTTTTGAAAAATCAACCTTGATTTTTGGAGAAAAAATAAGAATTTTCTTTAAAAATTAACGGGGCGTTAGTGTATCATTTTTTTTTTAAAAAAAATAAAATTATACGGGTTTAAAAACATTGATGTGTTGTTCATCTGTACTGCTTCCTGCTACGTAAGTGCTGAGGCAATGTCCCATACACGTGTCCATTCGTCACAACTGGACTTTCGATTTGGGCCTCACATATGGGCCAATATAAGCATCTCGTCCTCATGATGGTCTTGATTCATAATTATTTGAAAATGTGTACAACAATCTTACTGAACAGTATTTTTCTTACTCGTATATGACTCTCTTAAGAAGGCCCATGAACAGTATTTGTCTTACTCGTATATGACTGACTTAAAAAGGCCCACGCAGATTTGTGGTATGTTGGGCCTGTGTGTAATTTAAGCAAATCTTGAAGAAGTTCAACATTTTTGTTTCGAGTAAATTGCACCATGTACACATCATATCATATTTATTTGCAAAATTACTAGATGCATGATAATAATTGCAAAATTACCATATTTTATAAAATATGATTAGTTTTAAGATTAAATGAAGCGTAATTAAATGTAGATTTATTCTCTCATCCCTATCTTTTCTTCTCCTTCTTCTCTCTCATTCTCTCTGTTCTCGGGTGAGCTCCAACTTCTCGTCGAATTTTACAGCAACAGATCGGGCTAGTCGTGTATGGGACGTTCAAACTCTTTTTTTCTGTCATCTTCCTCGGCAAA